GATATTTGGGTCTTTGGTAAGTTTTAAATGCTTAATTCCCTGGTTATTTTGTATTTGTCTTTGTTTGCCGTCCCGGAATGCAAAGGCATTAAAGTAGCTCAACTTTTAAACTCTGTTTGGTTTTAAATTTGAGTGATGTCACCGCTACTCTAGTGGTTAATGGTTCTTAAATTGTCTGCAACTGGTCTGTTTTGCTGACTTAATATCCTGTGTTCTAGCACCTCTTGTGATTTCACAACTTCCGGCCTTTTGGGGCATTTGTACTTTACCTGGGTTCAAGTAGGAAATACTGCTGAGTATAAAGAGAAACTATTTTTCTTCTTATTTCAGGGCTTACAGACCACAAGTCTTGACTCCTTCCAGCTTTTCAGACATGGGAGGTTTTAATGTTTATTTACTTTTGAGAGAGAGAGAGAGTGAGAGAGAGAGAGAATGAGAGAGCGCGAGCATAAGCTGGGGAGGGACAAAGAGAGGGGGAGACACAGAATCTGAAGCAGGCTCCAGGCTCTGAGCTGTCAGCACAGTGCCTGATGTGGGGCTAGAACTCATGAATCATGAGATCATGACCTGAGTCGAAGTCAGACGCTCAACCGACTGAGCCACCCAGGCGCCCCTAAATTAGTGTTACTTTAAATTTTTTAAAGTATCTGCACATTTGACTTGTTGATGCTTAAGTTGTTTCATTTTTCCTTGAGATGTAATTCACGTGATATAAAATTTACCGTTTTAAACTGTATTCTTCACTGGTTTTTAATTTTTTTTTTTAATTTTTTTTTTCAACGTTTATTTATTTTTTTTGGGACAGAGAGAGACAGAGCATGAACGGGCGAGGGGCAGAGAGAGAGGGAGACACAGAATCGGAAACAGGCTCCAGGCTCTGAGCCATCAGCCCAGAGCCCGACACGGGGCTCGAACTCACGGACCGCGAGATCGTGACCTGGCTGAAGTCGGACGCTTAACCGACTGCGCCACCCAGGCGCCCCACTTCACTGGTTTTTAGTACATTACTCCATGGTGCATCCGTCACCACTGTCTAATTCTAGAACATGTCCTTCCCCCCAAAAAGAAACCTATCAGCTCTGATTCTCCCCTCCCCCCGTTCCTTGGCAACCACTAATGTACTTTCTGGTTTTATGGATTTGCCTGTTCTAGAACATCTCCTATAAATGGAATCATATGATATGCAACCTTTTGTATCTGGCTTCCTTTAACCTTAGAGTAGAATGTTTTCAGGGTTCATCGATGTTGCAGCACGTAACAGTACTTTATTCCCCCCCCCCCTTTTTTTTGGCTGCGTGATAGGCTTTGCCATCTTTAAAGTATCCTCATCAATGGATGGACATTGGTTGTTGATACTTTTTGGCTGTTATGAATGATGCTGTGAGTGTTTTTTGTGTGTGAGCATCTGTTGTCAGTTCTATCAGGTATATGCCTAGATGTAGAATCACCGGGTAGTTGTATGTTTCACTTTTTGAGGAATTGCTGAGCTGTTTTCCACATTAGCTGCACCATTTTCCATTCTCGCCAGCAATACAGGAGGTTCCAGTTCCTTTGCCTTCTTGCCAACACTTGTCTTCTGGGTTTTTTTGTTGTTGTTTTTTTTTTTTCTTATTTTATTGGATCCTGGTGGGTGGGAAGTGGTAGGTCAGTGTGGTTTTGATTTGCATTTTCCCTAAAGACTAATGATGTTGAACATCTTTACATGTGCTATTGGCCATCTGTGCGTCTTCTTTGGGAAAATATCAGTTTGAAGTCTGTTGCTTGTTTTTAAATTAGGTTATTTCTCTTTTTATTGTTGAGCTATAAGGGCTTTTGCATATTCAGGTCATTAGATCCTTGTCAGATATACGATTTGCAGGTATTTTCTCCCATTCTGTGGATCGTCTTTTTTACTCTCTCAGTAGTATCCTTTGACACACAAAAGTTTTTATTTTGACCAAGTTTAGTTTACCGATTATTTTTTATGCTTTTTGTGTCATGTCTAAGAAAGCATTATGTAATTCAGAGTCACACAGATTTTCACCTCTGTTTTCTCTAAGAGTGTTATAGTCTTTGCTCTTTTATTTAAGCTTTTGATCCACTTTGAGTTACTTTTTTGTGCATGTGTGAGGTTGGTGTTCCAAATTCATTCTTTTGTGTGTAGATATTGTCCCTGCAGTGGGCACTTGAAAAGACTGTTTCTTCCCCCAGCCATTGGTCTTGGCATCCTTTGAAAAATCAATTGACCATAAGTCTATGGGTTGCAAAGTCTTCCTTTTAAATGTTTAGCAGATTTACACTATAGAGTAAAACCATTCCTGGTAAGTGAAATGTGTCTGTTGCTCGATGCCGCTGTGAGTTTGGGCTTGTTGTCACAGCAAAAGCTGCCTAATTCAGTATTCACAGATTACTGGGAAGTGATTTAGTCTTGTGTTGAGCAACATTTGTTTATCTGAGAACAAATACATAAATGGCAGGTTGAGAACTGATGCTACCTAGTAGCATTTGTTCAAGGGTCTGAGTTACATGATTTAGAATGCCATCGTCAAGTTCAGAACTTCAGAGAATACGTAATGAGGCAGGAAAAATGATCTACCTAAAGGCATACAGCTGGTTAGTAGCACGGCCAGGATTCTGAGCTGAGTTCTGCCTCTGCATTCCTTCTCTGATGTACTTCATAGCCATGAACGTAAGGTGTTGTCTGAGGTCTCAAGAGGCAAAAGTCCAGGCTAATTCTGGCCCCAGTTTAAGAAGCAGGTGGTTTTTCAGTAGATGGCTGTGAAATTATGGTTTGGTATGAATTCCTCTTCTCTGACACTATCAGGGTAGGTGTTTGGCTGATTAAGAAAGTCATTTGAAACAAGTACTCTTAAGGAATGGTGCATATGGTTCTTAGCATTTATGTTAACATTTATGCCAGGGGCACCAAAATGTAATAAAGGGGAAACAAGAGTGTAACTAATCTGTGAGACCAGTACTTGGAAATTGATTATGAAAGATTCTGAACATCTGTTCAATGGAACACTTAACATCCATGTAAAATATTAATACAAATGTATACATTTTATGAAAAGACATTGAAGTTACATTTTTAAATGGGAAATAACAGTTGAGAAGAACATGAATATTAAGCTGCCGTGTGTGTGTGTGTGTGTGTGCGCGCGTGCGCAGACACATAAAGAAGGTCTGGGTTTCAGTTCAAGATGGCGGTGTAGGAGGATCTTGAACTCCTCTCCTCCCATGGATACCCTGAACCTACAGCTACATATGGAACAGTTTCCTCCGAAAAGTACCCAAAACTAGCTGAGTGACTCCTACACATTAGGTGAATAAAGAAACAACCTACGCTGAAGGGAGATGCAGTCTTGCCATAAATCCCACCCCTGGCACAGTGACCCACAATTGGGAGGGAGCTCACAATCCAGACTTCGCCCCTAGGAGCAGTGGTTTGAACCCCACATCCAGCACCCCAACTTTTAAGACCTGCACTTCAGACACAAGCTTTGAAAGCCAACAAGGCTTGCATCCGTGAGACCCACACGGCTGTGGGGAACAGAGAAACAGTTCTTAAAGCAGTCACGTGAGTGGAGTCCCCCAACTCCAGGACTCAGCACAGAAGTAGCCGATTGGAAAAGGTTCAGATTTTCTGTAAAAGAGGCCCATTTGCTTATCATAGAGCACTGACGGGCTGGCATCTAATTTAACACTCATCTGGGGCCCACTCTGTAGTCTGCAAAGATGGAACTGGTAGGTGTTACCTTTGTGCCGTCTCTCTGCCTCCCCCCTGCTCACTGGTATCTCCGGAAAAGGAGCTTGGATGCTCATCTGGTGTCCATGTTTTGCAGTCGCCACCTAAGGGATTCCTCTAGGTCATGTGGCTCCAGTGACCAGCAAGGCTTACGCTCACAGGCCCCTCATGTTTATTGCAGTATTTACAACAGCCAAGACTTGGAAACAACTTAAGTGTCCATCAACGAGTGAATGGAAAAAGAAAATGTGGGTATATACAGTGGAATAGTATTCAGCCATAAAAAGAAGGAAGTCTTGCCATTTGCAACAACATGGATGGACCTTGAGGATATTATGCTAAGTGAAATAAGTCAGAGAAAGACACATATCGTATCATCTCCCTTATGTGTGGAATCTATAAACAAAAACAAAAAATGATGTCCTAGAGAACCGATTGGTGGTTGCCAGAGGTGGTGGGGAGGCGTGGGGAGGGAATGGAGGAAGGGGTCAAATGGTACAAACTTCCAGTTAGTAAGATAAGTTTTGGGGATGTGATATACAGTGTGTACTTCTAGGAAATACCATACGGTACATTTGAAGGTTGCTAAGAGTAACTCCGAAATGTTCTTATCACAAGAAAAAATGTGTGTGTGGTGATGGATGTTAACTAGTCTTGGGGTGATCATTTCACAGTAGATGAAACCATGAAATCATTATCTTGTATACCTGAAAGATTATGTGTTCGTTGTATCTCCACTTTTGAAAAAGTAACAACATTTTAAAGAGAAAAGACCAAAATACAACAAGTCTGGGAGGATGTGAATCACAATGTTAAATAGTAGGTGGGGGGGGGGGGGCGACGTGAACAGTGCTTATCCGTAGAGCTTCAGAGAGCAGATGATTTTTTACACTCTTTAATATAATTCTTTCCTTATTGGTTGCAAGTTTGCTATTGAGCATTTGTTACATTTAAAATAAAGAAGCAAAGGCTGTTTCTGTTTTGAGACGAGCCTCTGAAATGTATAATAAAAAAAAAAATCCCTTGTGGAACTTAGGCAGCAGGAGAGAATGCTCTTGGTGGGGCCCCCTTTCCCGCACCTCTGTGATGTGAGCAGGCGCCCTGGTGTCACTGTGTGTCCCTAGACCCCCCCCCCCCCCCCCCGCCCCGTGCAGTCACAGGGCCCCTTCTAAATGAGTAGAATGGCATTTTTCTCTCTGTCTCCGATTTGATTTTTATACGTAAAATGTGATATCATTGGCGATCATTTTTTCTTTGTGGTTTGATTTTTCAGGAAGATTTCGATGTGGATCACTTTGTGTCCGATTGCCGGAAGCGCGTGCAGCTGGAGGAACTGAGAGGTGACCTGGAACTCTATTACCGACTCCTCAAAACAGCCATGGTGGAGCTCATCAACAAAGACTACGCGGATTTTGTCAACCTGTCCACAAACTTGGTAAGCCTGAAATCCGCAAGGCCCTCTCATCCATATTTATTCTTCAGAGTGGAGTGTAGATTTCTAAAAGAAAGCTTTCAGTCGATTCCCCCTGTGCCACCCCCCCAAAAAAAACCTAAAGAGATTACTAAGCTCACGAGTAAAATAACTAAACTGTTTGGTGTGCATTTGTTTGGTTTTAGTGTTTAAATTCATTTCAGGCCGCCCTAGCTTGATTATTTTTTTGAAATCGTTAGTAAAGAAGTCAACAGCAGAGGATAAGAATATTGGAGTCGTTGTTTTTGGTAGTTGCTAAGTGACTACCCTGAAGTCTTACTTGGTTGAGGCTAATTTGCAAGAGCAGATACCAACTATTCTGAAGGAAGTGTTGAATTTACTTTCAGGTGGATGCGTTAGCCTGAGCTAGGTTGAGGGGACGTGGGCCAGTATTGATATTTAGAAGGCATGGTTTTATAAAAACATAAGAATGATTTGTAGTGAGCATGTCAAGTGTTTGTGAAAGCTGTTTAGAAATGCTTGGGTTATAATATTTGCAGAAAAGTCTCCTTGTTCTTACTTCATTTTGTTTAAAATCTGCCGAAAGTCGGCGGCTCCGTGGGGATTTCAAGAAGCATTAAAATAATGAGGCATATTTGCTTTTGGGAAATATACCCCTAACATAAATGTTCCAGTGGGATTAGAAACCCAGAAAATTTGATTTCTGTTCTGTTTAATTTGGATTTTTCTCAAGGGTTATAATGATGTTTAGGAGAGACATAGCCCATTGGCCTTTCGCATCAACTGGCTGGGTATCATAAATTATGGACAGATAGCTGTGCCCCTTCCGTTACAATTTTTCACATTCATTTAAAATGGCATCTAAAGGCAAATTGAAGGTTTCATTTATTAGGACTTCCCTTGTTTGTATAGTTTCATGTATACCAACAGATTTTTTTCGTATTCTATGAACAACATTGATGGCAAGTAACATTTCCGTTATTTAACTACTCAGCAAAATACAGTCATACCAAAAAAATAACTTAAGTCTAGTACTGCTTTGATCATTAAAAGATATTTCACTGTTATTCCTGATTGTGATGTGTGTGTGCCAACATGATTTTGCCTTTAGGTTGGCATGGACAAGGCCCTCAATCAGCTTTCTGTGCCTTTGGGACAGTTACGAGAAGAAGTTCTGGTAAGTCCCTACATAGTATAAAACAAGCTACTGGAAAGGATGTGGTCCTCGTTTGCCTTCTCCAAGAAGATTTCCTTTCATCTGTCAGCTCGTGGTGCGGTGGTTGTTTTCTCATGGTTTCATGATTATTGTATTTGCCTTCAGAAAAGTTGTACATGATTTTCTATTTTTGCATGTGGTATTATGACCTAAAAAACATGTTCGATCTGAAGAAGACAGATTTTCAGAGTAGACAGCCTTAAAATGTCAGGGGAGAGGAAGCATATTTCCAAATTCAACTTATTAATGCCACCTGACTCCCATGTAAGTGGTTTCCAGCTTCTGAATGGCTCATTTGAACAGTTCCTAATTTGTAAGTATCCCCTCCCCGCCCAGACAGTAATGTACAGCTATGAAATCCTTCATGTAACCGAAGGATGATATAGATGTAACATCTAATAATGTTTCTCTGAGAAAATCCCTGCTGTGGGAATAGAACTCCCCACTCCCAGACGTTGGGAATGGGAACTCCACCTGGTGAACAGCGGAGGGGAACTTAGGGCATCACTTCCAACAGAAAACTGTGCCGTCCTGTCCTCCCCCCCCCCCCCGGGGGGGGGGGTGCCCGGACTCGCCCCCCCCCAACCCCCCCGACCCCTCTGTTTGGATGCACTGTTGTGAACTTGGTGCTCTGCACCATCCTGTCCTGGGTATGTCACCCCTAGCTTGAGTGGCCTCGTGCATCAGCCCATAAGACAGCGCCTGGAACCTGAGGAGATACTTGAAGTGGAAGATGATCTAAGGGAAGGACCGGTGCATGGATAAAGCTGGAAAAAACGTGGAGTCCCAGCAATGTCAGTGCTGAGAAGCCCAGAGGAGGGGTAGGCAGGAAAGAATTCATAGAAGAGGGAAATTTGGAGCCGTGCCTCGAGCTAGCTAATACTCTTCCTTGTTTATGTCTCGTTTGAATGTTACAAAATCTTATTGAGATGCTTTCCCCCGGAAGGGAAGAGCGATTTTTGTGGTCCACTATTGGATTCCACGCCTGCTGCCGCGTGTCTCTCCTGCCTCCTCCTTGGTGTGCCCCTTCCTCCCCCAGCCCCATAGCCGTGGTGTCCCCCGAGCCCAGCCTTCATTTGGCCTTCCGCTCCTCTCTGAAACCCCTCTCCCCAAAGGTAGATTTGCTCTGCTGACTACTGCTCTCGCCTCGCACACAGGTTCCCGTCCTGCCTCGTCCCTGCGAGCACCGTATCCCCTTCCTTTTCCACAGCCATCTTTATAGCTGCTTTTGTCCTAATGAGCCACAGACCTGACCTTCCTTTCTGGTCCCAACTCAGAGACCAGATCTAAAATTCTAAGAGATTCTAAGATCTTTAACGGATAAGACCGTTTCTGTCTTCGTTGTTGTATCCTCATGTGCTGTCACGACAGCTGACATCTAGTAGGTATTTCATGATGTTTTCTGAGTGAAATAATTCACCTTTCTGTAGAATTTTTGTGATGTGTCCAGTTTATCCCAGCTGTTTCCATGAGCCTTTGTTTTGGCTCTAATTCCTGTCTTCTACTTGGTTTCATTCCTCAGCTTCCGGCCCTCTTTCTCCACCTGTGAGCTCTCCCTTTTCCTGGCCATTCTGTTCATACTCCTTAATTCCTAATATTTCCAAAACATTTCCTACGATAGGTCAGTGCTTCAACAGTCTCTAGTTCTCCATAATGTGTGGAATCCCGTCTAAAGCCCTCATCTGAGTGAAGTCCTCCTGAGTTGACCCCTCCCTTATTTCTACTTCTCTCCAAAACGAAGCCAACAGCGCACCCGGGTGCATGGCTGCGACCCTGAGTGTGGACGCGTCTACACCTTCTTACCTCTTGTCTTCTGAAGATCCTCTCTCCGCCCATGCACGGCTTCAGAGCCGGGTTTGAGTCCCACCCCTTTTCCAGACTCTTCTGTACTTTGCTTCAGACTACCTATTCTCCACTCTGACCACCCATGACATTCACTGTATATGTATTATTATTCTTCTGGCCGTTAATACAGTGCGACCCTGGCTTTATGTCATTTTGCCCCTAAATCATGAGTACCCTCAACAACATTTGTCTGATATTTCGTGTTATTGTCAGTGTCTGCATAACACTGGTCTGCAGGTATTAAGTTCTGTGAGGTTGAATTAAATGTATAAACCTGATCATGTTACAGAACAGTTTCTGCAGTATACTTTGTTTATGCTTTTAAAGAGCCTCAGGTCGTCTGTCAGTGAAGGCATTCGGGCAGTGGATGAACGGATGTGTAAGCAAGAGGACATCAGGAAGAAAAAGGTATCCCTTAGTAGATTTCCCACGTTACGTGCCGGTTACGTGTCCCCTCCTCGTGTCCCTTCATGCTTGTCAGTACTATGCAGCTTTGTTTTCAAAGCTCTTTTGCATGTGCATATTTCGCATTATAATGTCACGTTATCTACTTGAAATAGTAAGACGGAATTTTAGAGGTACCCACAAGGTCTCAAGGTCCCTCACTTTTTCCAGAACAAGAAATAATAATAACTGATGTCAGTGGAGCACTTGGTGGTTTAACAGCCACGTAAATGTTCTCCACCCCTGTATTCTACTGCAGGTTAGTTGTTCTAGAAAAGGCGGAGTATTGCTGTCTCAGGCTCGGCCATGTTTGTTTCTTTTTTCATTTCCCTTCTTTAAATACACGTCTGCGTGCACTGCCTTTACTGTTTAGTGGCCCTGGATTTTAATTTTATTTTCTGATTTTTTTCTTTATGCTCTGGTTTTAGCTCTTATTATTGGTTTTTGAATCCCAGTTATCAACGTACGGGGTTATGTTAGTTTCAGGTGTACAATGTAGTCATTCAGCACTTCCGTACGTCAGCCAGTGCTCATCACAGCAAGGGCACACCTTCATCCTCGACACCTGTTCTTCACAGCCCTGGTTTTATTCATGATCATAAGGATGTCAGGGCAGAGTTGGAATTGGGATTCCAGACTTCTGACTCTATCCAGTGTTTTGTACATGTATTTATTAGCATATTTTATTATTATTATTTTTAGTATTTTTTGAGAGAGAGAGGGAGCAAGTGAGGGGGAGAGAGAGAAGTGGGGCTTACCCGAAGTGGGTCTCAAGTTTACCCAAAGTGGGGCTCGTGCTCACCCGATGTGGGGCTCGAACTCATGAACCGTGAGATGCTTAACTGACTGAGCCACCCAGGTGCCCCCTTATTAGCATATTTTCTTAAATCTCACGGGGGAGAAAGAAGCTTATTTTAGAGACTGTCTATTTCTCCTTTACATCTTCTCCCAGCTTTTGTCCAAAGAATTCATGTGGTGTGTTTCTAGACAAGACTGTAAGCTTCATGAAAGCAGACATTTTTCTAGTTTTATTCACTGCTGTCCCCACTGTCTGGAAGAATGTCTAGCTCCCAGGAGGGGTTCTCAGGTACTCTTTGTTTAACGGGTGACTTTGTATTTTTCGTTCTTTTAAGGATAAGAGTTCTTATAACGTCCCTCAACCTCTTGGCAATATTTATAGCATAAAATGCCTTCAATGAATTGACACTAGGGCATATAGGTGTATCATGCGCATGTAAACCGAGAGGATAAGTACGATCAGAAACTGAAAAGGTGAAGAAAGGGCCATAAGAAAATAAATGGACTGCTCATAGAGAGATTCAGGATGGGAAAAAGAAGAAATAAGAGTACAGAGCGTGAGAAAGCAAAAGTCTAGGGGCTTTTCGTTTGTGTGTGTGTGTGTGTGTGTGTTTTACTACTAATTTGCAGTAGAATATTGAAATATGCTTGTTCCAGAAAGCCAAAATTAAGATTTCCATTCTTGGCAATTCAGTGTTTTATAGAAATATTCAAAATATAGGATGCTCTATATATTCAAACTTGACTTTTGGTTTTATATTTTCTGGCACTTAGCATGGAAAACAAGATGATTAAGGTTAAACATTATAATAACTTTTTTTGTTTGCTTAATTTTTATCTTTATAGATGTGCGTGTTGAGGCTTATACAAGTTATTCGATCAGTTGAAAAAATTGAAAAAATCTTAAATTCTCAAAGCTCTAAAGAAACATCTGTACTAGAAGCAAGCAGGTAAGTATTTTTTTTACTAAATAGCACGTAAATTAATACTTCACATCCAGTTTAAATATTGTTTTGTTTCGTTTTAGTTAGAATTCATTTCTGAATAAGGAGAAAATCCACGTCTGTAGCTTAGTGTTTTCGAACAAAGCTCCGGGAGAGTAGAGTGCATGAAATGGTAAAGTTTATTATACGTCATTTTAAACCCTTTGTGGTCCTAGGCCATATAGTTCCAACACTGGGGGTCAGAGGCAGTGTGCCTCCCGTGGAAAGTTTTTACATTTGGAATCCCCTTCCCTAAAGAGCTAGCAAAATCCTTGTTGATCTTCAAGGTATAGCCTTCATCTTTCTCAGATTTTCTCTAGACCTGCCCAGAGTATTAACCATTGATGTGGTTTTGCACCAGCATTATATCGTTAACAGAAACAGTATAGGGCACGTCTAGGTGAAATGCACAAACGAGGAAGAAAAAGCTTCTGAAATCAGAAAAAGATGACCGCTGTGTTACGCTGCAACTTACCGCCTTCTTAGTGTGAATTTTCAATCAGCCGGGTAGATGAGGGACTCGGAAAATGAGTTGTCAGAGCACGGCGGCACCAGCGGGACGCGCTGTGGAACAGTGGGAAGAACGCAGGCTTGGGGAGCCCGAGTCCAGGTCCTTCGGTGCCCTGTGTCCCCTGGAGTGTAAGGCTGACAGCAACCCCACGTGCAAGGTTGTCTCAACCAGTGAGGGACTGTCAGCCATACCTGGCATACACAGGCCCGCCCCCTTAGGAAATCTGGGTTTAACGTGAGCTGTCTTTTTGAAATCACCCTGATAGCTATAACGTTTTTCCACGAGGAATACTGGATCATTGAGGCAGCACCACCCACAGCCAAACTGAATATACCTAGAGTTCAAAGGCTTGGTCCCACCAAAAAGGCATGGGGGATTTCTTAGCTTTAGGAACTAATGTTTTAGATTCGGAAGGGTCCCCAGAGACCCCACGCTCCACATCTCTCGTTATGGAGTAAAGAAAGGAGACATCCCAAAGGAAGGGGGTTCTCAGGTCCTCCGTCTCTGCCTCCTTTGATAATCCAGACGTGAAAATGGGAGTCGCCGCCTGCCGGGTGGGTTTCTTCGGCCCACTGCTCTTGTGCCCCTGAACCCTTCGTCACTTATCAGAGACCCATGGAACGTCCGTTCCTATCCGTCTAGTGGAACCGGCTCATCTTCAGCTGCTCTGCTCTGCTGACGGTCCCTCTAGCCGCATCCTCATTCGGCCTCTCTGTTGCTCCAATGCATGCCTTCCAGTTTTCTTTGTTTTTGCCCGTTCCTGCTGTGTTCCTTTGATAGAAATCCCTCAGTGGTTTCTGTTTCTGTAATACTGTTCCTTTGGCAACTCTGCCTTTAATGTAATAGATATTATGCTCTTTCTTGCTCAGAATCACCTTTGAGGCTTTTTTCTTTCCTTTTGAACAGCAGCTTTGAGCTGTAGACAAAGGAAAGCCAGAGCCATGTTGGTGAATAGTAAATAGATCATGCTTCCTAGGCCAGGAGACGTTGAGATAATTGGTAAACAACACGTCCACGCTAGGTTATTCAAGTTAGAGGTTAAGCTTCGGGGTTGGTCACGCTGGGCACTTTCCCTCTACGCTCATTTGGATGCTGTGGAAACAGGGCCGGGTGGATCACTGCTGGTCTGCATATAGCGTTTTGTATTTCCTGATGATGTGGGTTTTCCCCTCACTGCCTGCTTGTGCCTCGTCAGATGTGGGATGCCTTAGAAAAGCCCAGCAGGTACTTTCAGTGCCTTTGTGGTTTTCATCTTTCACTATTCAGCTTCCTCTTAAGTGATGTTGATGCTTTATAATGTGTTTGGAGGGAGGGGGAGTACATTTATTACATGTGGTAGCTGATACAAACGCGTGTTTTCTCGGTAGGACCCGGAGCATGTAGATTGCTCTTTCTGCTCTTTGGTACACGCAAACTTAAAGTAAGCTACTTTGAGGTGTTTCATTTATTGCTGCTGGAGGGCCAGTTTTATTTTATCGAAGGGACAACAGTATTTGGTGCCTGAGACGTATTAGAGGTCTTTTGGAAGGAGGGAGAATGAGGCAGGTAGAGAAGAGGAGGATTCATCTATGAATGATGGGAAAGGGCAAGAGAGAGAAGGGGGTTAGAGATGAAGACCTCATGAATGGGAGAGCCTGAGGAATGTGGTGGAAACACACAGTTGCACCCACACTCCCCCGGTCCAGCTCCTGCTGCTTGTGTGGGCCCTGTGGCTGGGGCCAGGCAGCATCAGTGGCTTGCTTATACGTGACGACCTCCCCACCACACCTAGAACATGCTGTGCTTACGGCTTGTAGTGAAAATCCACAGCACGGAAGGTACGTTAGCTTTCACCTTGTGACAAGGGGTCTGTGGGAGAAAACACCCTGAAGCAAAGGTACGACACCGTGGGTGCTAAAGCCTCCCTGTTGCTAATTGGGTGATATCGTCTCTTGGAAGTTAAATAACTCTGGGAACTAAATTTCTGTAACTGTCTCTACTAGCCCACTTTTGACTGGACAGATCTTGGAGAGAATTGCCACAGAATTTAACCAGTTACAATTTCATGCTGTTCAAAGCAAAGGCATGCCTCTTTTGGACAAAGTAAGACCGGTAAGTGTTGGTTTAGATTTTCACAGTTTGCTGTTTGGGAATTTGCTGAATGATTTTAGTTAAATCTCGTATTGCCCCTGATAATTGTTGCCGTAGAGGACTTTGAAACCAACGTTGAATTTTTTCTTTCAGTTTTTGTTTCTGGGGACCCTGCTTCTCTCATGTCATGTTAGAGAGATTTTGCATAAAGTCACAAGCATATTCTCCAAATTACACGAGTAAAATGAATTCTGAATTTCATGTAACTCGACACATTGTACGAGGTAGTCAGAATTAATTTACCCAAAGCCCTTGGCTGGGTTTAAACACATTTGTCGGATTTACTCTGTAGCTTAAGAAGAAAATAACTTTTTTTGTCATTTCTTAGATGAAGCAAAGATTTACTTGTAAAGAAATCGTGGGGAGAAGAGATATCACTGTTAACTCTCCAGAAAATGTTAATCTTTTAATCTTACGTATATTCTAGTAGAATAGGAGGTCTGTTATATACATATTTGAATTTTTAGCAATTGGTCTACCTGGAACTTTCCTTACAGCTGTTTTTGCTTGCAGCGGATAGCCGGCATTACAGCCATGTTACAGCAGTCACTGGAAGGCCTGCTCTTAGAAGGTCTCCAGACTTCCAACGTTGATATAATACGGCACTGCCTACGGACCTACGCCACAATTGACAAGACACGGGATGCTGAGGCCTTAGTCGGTCAAGTTCTAGTGAAACCCTACGTGGATGAGGTGTGTGCACTCGTTTCTTCGTTCAGACGCTCCTAGAGCATCTACTCAGACTTGGATTCTTCACTGGCTGTGGGGGGATAGATCAGAGATCTTTCTGTACAGTCTCATAGTTACTGCACTCTCAGTTGTAGGAAAAGCTCGGTCCCCCCGTTGGTTACAGTCAGAGTGCCAGGAACTGAACATGCTCTCCAGTATTCTCTAGTGATGTCATAACCCAGGGATCATCCTAATACCATAGGGGTGAGGGTCTTGCCTAGGGAGAAGGTCCGGATCCGAACATTTGCAGGTCAGTTTTAAGTTGTGTCAAATCTACGTCAGTGAGGTTGTGAAAAAGCATTTTTGCACTGCCAGGGTAGAGGAGTAGAACAGTTAGGTCGATGACCTCTCCGCAGCACGTGCCTGGTGGCGGAGTGTGTGGACAGCCCCGTGAGCTTGGAAAGTCCGCGAGGGAGGTGTCTTCCCAGAATAGATTGGGCCTAAGTGTTGAAAACCATGGGGGAGTCTGCCAGGCCAGGAAGTGGGAAGGAGGGAATGTTCAAAGATGAAGGGCTTTTCTGGGCAGATTAGTACCTTAAACCTGAACTTGGTTGTCCAGGACCCTTCACCTATCGGGGTATAGTTAAGTTACAGGCAGGGAGTATATCCTGCTTTGAGGAGCCAGAATATAGGTCGTATCATACAAGGTTGCCAACACTCAACAATTTCTGGCTTAGAAAATGGCGGTTCCGTCTGGTTCAAACCGATAGAAGCCATAAAGCCAGTCCTCAGTGTTTGAAGACCCTCTTGCAGTCACCTGTCAGTGTGAATGTTCTTCCTGTCCCAGTAAGTACAAAGCTTCCAAGCCCTGTGACTTCAGGATGAAAGCCTTCCATTTTTAAAATGGGACAGTGAATCCTGTTGGTAAAAGTGAAATTTAAGGCTTAATTTCAGTAAGCCTCTCAACTTCATTAGGATCACTAAAAATAAACGTTCTGCCAGTTCCCTGTGTGTATCCTGTTCTATTTCATGGCTATTTCTGTGGGGATAAAAAAGACCGATTAACTACGTTATGCTTTATCCGTAAGTGAAAGTAGGGTAGTTCCTAATGTATGCTTTTTTCATTGAGCCGCATCTAATGTGCCAAATTAAGAAAATATTTTAAGTTTCAGTGGCATATTAAAGGGACGATGGCCACGTTTGTATTTTAAGTTTGTGTGCTTGTCCTTCTTTTACCTCTTGACTCTCAACCTTCCCACAAAAAATAAAATAATAAAGTAAAATAAAATGTGTTTTCTTCCATCGTTCTCTGTCCCAACCCTTTCCCTAATCTGGTGGTGGTTGGCTAGGCCAACGTCAAGGCAGTACGAGCTGTTGTCAGGACACACATATTTTGCTTTCAAGCTCAAGACGGGAAGCAGATGAGTGTGTGTGGTGTTTCGGCTCTAGGCCAGTCTCTGTCACCCAGCCTGTGTCTCCCCCGGGTCAGAGCTGTGTCCCCTAACCCTAGGAGCCGATGTTGAGTGAAGGTGTGCTTTACCTTCTGTTTCGAAGGCATGTCAGCTGGGGAGGAGGGGGGGCAGAGAGGAATTGTGTTTTTAAGGTTTTCTCTGTTCTTTCCTCTGTAGTATATAGTTCATACTTCTCTTTTAGGTGCTTTAAAACAAATGATGCTCCTTTTGATAGGTGATTGTAGAGCAGATTGTTGAGTCTGATCCGAACGGCCTTCAGATCATGTATGATAAGCTCCTGGAGTTTGTTCCTCACCATTGCCGCCTTCTTCGAGAAGTCACAGGAGGGGCCATCTCCAGGTAACTGAAACCGCTGAGCTTCCCGGTCAGCTCAGCTCGGCGATTGCACTTGGTGGCTCCCCGTGCGTACTGCTTACTGGCTGTCTTGTCTGAACTGGGAACGAGTGCGCTTTCCTATTTAATTGTTACCAATGCCATGAGGCGGGTGTTGTTAGCCTCGGTTTCTAGGTAATGGAACTAACAGTAGGAGCTAATCTTGAAGGTTGCATTTCTCTGAATCCAAAACCCCTTTTACCTTCTCTATACTTCTTCCTTAATCGGGTTCAAAATCAAAATTGGTTTCCTTCCATTATTCTGATGTCTATAAATATCAATTCAGCTTTAAATCAACAAGTTGGGTTTTTTTTTTTTTTTTAAGTTTAAGGGAGGGAGAGAGGGGGAGAACGAGCGAGCGAGCATGAGCAGAGGCAGAGAGAGAGAGAATCCCAAGCAGGCTCCGCTCTGTGCTCTGTCAGAGCAAGCCCCATGCGGGGCTTGAACTCAGGAATTGCGAGATCATGACCTGAGCTGAAACCGAGAGTCTGACGCTTAACTGACTGAGCCACCCAGGCGCCCCTCAGCTTGATTCAATAAGTTTTATGCTAATAGTGATTAAGGTTATCTTCAGTTTCCCCACCTTCTTTTACTTAATTTCCATGACTTTCCAGTTCTGCTTCATAAATATCCCATTCCATTTCACCATCGCCCTGGTCCAGGCCTTTGTCATGTTTTCTCTGGAATAACAGGCTCTCCCCTCCTGGCCTCCCTGGCTCCACCTGTCCCTCTTCATTGCAGCCCTTGGCTGTCATATCTGCCCAGAGCTCTGCCACCTTCGTAAGTCTTTAATGGCTTCTCATTGCTTATAGAGGAACATCCAGTCTTCTTGGCACAGCCCGTGAGGTCCTTGATGCTCTGGTCCTGGTGGTTCTCCACTGTAGACCTTTCTACTGTGAAACTCCACCCCCCCACCCCCGCCCCCGCAACCCCACCCCATACCACTATGGTCCCTGGCCAAACTGTAGCACTTGACCTCCCCTAACACAACTTGTACAGAAGATCTCTGACTTCACAGCGGTTCAACTTAGGACTTTTTGGCTTTACGATGGTGCAAAAGCGATACGCATTCAGCGGAAACCATATCGCAGACTTCGAATCTGGATCTTTTCCCGGGCTAGCAATACGCAGTAGGATCCCCTCTTGTGATGCCACGCAGTGGCAGTGACCACAGCTCCCAGGCACCCACGCCATCACGAGGGTCCGCAACCGACACACTGAAACCCTCCGTATTCTCACTTTGAGTATAGGCTTCAGCAAGTTGCGTGAGGTGGCCAACACTGTGTTGTAAAATAGGCTTTGTGTTAGGTGATGTTGCCCGCCTGCAGGCTGCTGTGAGCGTTCTGAGCACATTTTAGGTAGGGTGTGCCGAGCTCTGATGTTCAGTAGGTTGGGTGTATTTTCATTTTCAGCTCATGATATACTTACGAGGGGTTTATTGGGATGTAACTCCGTCGTAAGTCAAGAAAGATCTGTACTGGGGGCTTCTGTGGTTTTCCTCGTTGCCTCCTGCGCTTCCCATTGCCTGTGGCTTTTGGTTAACCTGTCAACTCCATCTGAGCTCCCGCTCAGATACCACTTCCTTCAAGAGACCGCTTTCCCCTGATGTTCAGCATTCACCATGTCCTCGGTTCCAGTACATGTTGGCTCTTAACCTCTGTGGAGGGGTCATTCCCGGAGGCTGAGGATGTGCTCTCCTTCTGCGCTGCCCACACCTTCCTCACCAGTCACCGTGTCTTGAAGATAGCGACTTCCCCGTGTTTGCAGAATGAAAGACTTGGTCCATTTTCATCGTCAGAAAGGCAGAGGAGGTCTCAGATCTTTATGAAGTAGGCAATCAGTGCATTTGGTCTTGAATTTTTGTTCTTTGTAAAGGGAATTTTTGTTCTTTGGAAAGACAAGAAAAAGAAAAACTATATGCCACCTGATCTTTGAAGTACTCTCTCTATTCCCACCGCATGATTTCGGCCTGGGTTGCCGCTTGTGTTTAGTCATCATGAAGATTTAGTTGAATTTGGATTTGGGGTAAGAAATTAGTAGAAGTCATGATGTAAAACTAAGGAAGCCGCAATTCCGAAACAAAACAGTCATTAGATTCAACAAGGCCGGTCTTGGTCCTGAAAATGCCGAGTTTCAAAGCTTTGCGAAGGCCTTTCCATAGTTTTCAGCGTGGCAGAATTCACGTCGAAGCCTCGGAGGGTTGGGGAATCTAATCCGTGCGTTGGTAGGTCGTCATTTGCTTCAGGCACCTTTGTCCTGCTGGCCCTGACCTGCCCTCGCTCGGCTCCGGCCTCCAGGATTCCCCACTCTCGGTGCTTCCCTCGCACGTTCTGTTCTTTTTCCTTCGTGTCGCCCTCTGTATATGCCTTTTATATCTGTAGTGGCAGCAGCATGCAGGATCTGTCTTCCAGAGAATGTGGATTCGCTTTTCTCATTAGTCATCTGTTTCAGCTGTTAATCTTGTAGATGTAAGTTTTCTCTTTGGGGCTTTAAGTAGATATTTGCTTTGGGGATGAGGGGATCTTGTCATTTGATATTGCTTATATTCTGTGCATCTGTAGTTTTAAAATTCCCAGTTTTATTCTTCTCTTCTCCAGGTACCTTAATAGAGCTCGTTCTTAGCGTGGCTGAAAGTATAGACTGCGAGGTGTGGAATTGGGTATGTGGGAAATAGACATGTTGTTGGCCCTCCCCAGCCCTCCTCCAACCGGCCAGTGATTTCTTACCAGTACTTAACTATAGTAAAATTGTTTGGTAGCCCTTGCTGGCCAGTAAGGCCTGGCTTCCTGGATAATCTATCTTTCCTGGCAATTTTTGCTAAGGAGGAAAATTAGGAAAGCTTTTATCTCTGTTTTCATTTTTTTTTTTTTTTAATTTCTTAAGTGTTTGTTTATTTTTGAGAGAGTGGGAGGCACAGAATCCGAAGCAGGCTCCAGGCTCTGAGCTGTCAGCACAGCGCCCGACGCAGGGCTCGAACTCACAAACCGCAAGATCATGACCTGAGCCGAAATCGGACGCTAAAGCGACGGAGCCACCCGGGCGCCCCTTTTTTCTTTATTTTCAATACCCAATTTCATATCGCAACGTAGCTACAAAACTCCCAGTTTTGCCGAAATAAGATCGTATATTGGGGCAGCTGGCTGGCTCACTCGGAGGAGCGTGTGACTCTTGGTCTCGGGGTCATGAGTTTGAGCCCCTCGTTGGTTGTGAAGATTACCTGAATAAAGACTTAAAAAAAGACCATATATTGAATCGCTGGCCATTGTTAAAGAAAGTTATCTTAAAACTGAGCATTCAGTGAGATGGTATTTACCTAGAAGTTATTTTTGTGTCTTTAAGTGCAAGAGAAAACTTGAGCAATCTGCCTTACTTATTTATTTACTTATATATTTAAGCCCTACTATCACAGCACTTCCTGTATGCTAGGCACAAGCCTAAATGCTTTACAAATATTAACCCATTTGAAGATGCTCTGATCTCCATCCTGTCATCTCAATTTAAAGATGAAGAAAACAAAACAGAGGGTAAAAGGCCCACCATTTGAACCCAGGTATTCTGGCTCCTGAGTGAATGCTTTCATCTCAGTGTTGCCTCTCATCTAAGTCTGTGAATTAGAAATCCAGAGTCTAGACTTTTGCTTAAAAAAAAAAAAAAAAAAAAAAAAGGCGAAATAAGGCATGGATACACAAAAAAACACGACTGTGACAAGTTTTTTTGCATCAGGATTTGGAATCAAGATTTCACATGGAATAGTCATAGAATTTGAGAACTGAAGGTAATCTTAGAGATAGCTTAATCTTCACGAAGCTGTTAGTAACTGGCAAATTAGCATGATTTACAGGGCTTTAGAGCTTAGTGGTATTAAGATTCAATGCAAAGAGGGGCGCCTGGGTGGCTCAGTTAAGTGTCTGACTTCAGCACAGGTCATGATCTCATACTTTGTGGGTCCAAGCCCACGTCAGGCTCTGTGCTGACAGCTCAGAGCCTGGAGCCTGCTTTGGATTCCATGTCTCCCTCTCTCTCTCTCTCTGCACCCCCCACTCATGTTCTGTCTCTGTTTCTCTCAAAAAAAAAAAAAAGATGAGTAAACATTAAAAAAAGACTGCACGCGAAGATCGCTTTTCTTGTGTTATTAGACTTCTTTTCCAAGATAGAGTGTAAATACGATAGCCTGCTTCCAGGGAGAAATCCTGCCAAGGCAATTCGATGTAGTAGTTTTGCCTTATCCTTGACACTAGCTTGCTCTCCTATGTGATAAATACAGGAGTCAGAATACAGAGGGCGTTCAGGTTCAAGGTGAGACTGGAATCAAGGAGTAAAATAGAAGTTGAAGGCTATAAACAAGCTAACTGATGTACAGTTTTTTAAAAAGGTGGAAGTAAGTTTTAGGCTGAGGAACTTTGAGTTAAAATACCACTGTAGAATTTTGCCCTTTGTAAATAGGAGGGTGCCATGTATCTGACTGGAGTGTTGCTGTTTCTTACAGTGAAAAAGGCAACAGTGTTCCTGGATATGATTTTTTGGTGAATTCTGTCTGGCCAGAAATAGTACGAGGATTAGAAGAAAAACTGCCTTCACTTTTTAATCCTGGAAATCCCGATGCATTTCACGAGGTACTTTTCCTCCATCATCCTGATTCTCCAAGATATTAACCAGGGGCTTGGGAAAAATCATGCTTTCTGCACAGACTTCGTTCTGTGCTTTGTTAAAAATAAAAATCTGAGTTTGTGAGTGAGCATTTCCTTAAAATACACAAAATGTTTCGTCCAAGTAGTAGTCTCTGGTACTGTTGGGACTATATACTATAATTCTAAAATGCAGGGTAAGATTCAGCCTAGGTACCAATGTGACAAGATGTGTATGCACCTCATTCTCTCGCTGTTTCAAAAAGATCCTCGAGACCATTAAAAGCCAGTCCCTTTGCAGTGGTTTTCTATGGAAAATCAGCTTTGCAAATGTGTACGGTATAATTTTAAAGGAAAACAGGGTATCGATTGGATTTTAAAATCCTCATTAATTTGTAGTGTATAGAGGCAGACGGTAAGGTGTGGTGAGCCTGGGGCCTGCTGGCCTTCAACACAGACGAGAAGACACATTTGGAGCCATAGTGTCACAGAAATACCACTTCCCTGTTCCGACTAACTGTGCGACGTGACAGTATGCTGAATCATGTGATCACGTGCTATCGTTTTCAGTGAGTCGTGTGACAGTGATTTTTATTATTTGAAAACAGTAGGGCTTTTCAAAATAGACCCCAGAAGCAGAATGATGCAGTGGTCTTAAGCATTCACCATTTAAGACCCTTTACGTTTTGCTGTCCTCTGGAGTTGTGCTGGTCACGTTATGCTCAGGAGATGTTTCAGCTCAGAAAGGAAACTTTCTCGCAGAACTTTGACTTCAGAATTCTAAGCCAGTCCTTAACGTGGCTGGGTCTGTTTCCAGTGAGCACAGCGTCGGTCAGTTCCTTTCACAAAATGCTTTCAGCTTTCAGTCTGGCTGTGACGTGCTTCTCGTGAGGAGAGAAATACCTCGTGTTCCTTTAGCGTCTCGTCGTGTGCAGAGGTCTGTCTTCTTTTATCCCCAAAGGATGAATAATACCTTGGTCTCAACTCCTCAACACCTCGCCCAACCAGTTGAAAGAAATGAAAAGCCTGTAGTGTTGAGTGAACTAAAATTCCTGCCCAAGCGCAGACGTGAGGAAGTTTCGGTGAATGGTTGGGTGACCCAGAAGGATATGGAGTGTCCACACATGTTCCCTGTAGAGCCTGGGCCCTGTGGGGGGGGGGGACCAGAGGACCCACGGAGGAATGCGCATTTCCGACAGCTGCAGTTCTGCTTTGCTGACCAACCAGGGTGCTGTTTGCTCTATTTCTCAGCTTTGTCTTTGGGTAAATTCTCTGTGAGCCTGAATAGAAGAGGAAGCGTCATCCTCCAAATGATAATAACAGTAGTTAACCTGGGAGGGTACTTTTGTGGGTCATGTTAAAGAATACAGTTTTAGGCACAGCGCGCGGGTGATGAATGTTAAGTTTCAGCCACGGCTCTTCATCGTGTCGGTAGCTTCCCGTCCGTTTTTGTGCTGTCTGGTCTATGGAGATCATGTGATGGCTCACCTGCCTTTTAAAAATGTTCTACTTTTGGGGCGCCTGGGTGGCTCAGTCGGTTGAGCGTCCGACTTTGCTCAGGTCACGATCTCACGGTCCGTGAGTTCGAGCCCCGCATCAGGCTCTGTGCTGACAGCTCAGAGCCTGGAGCCTGCTTCAGATTCTATGTCTCCCTCTCTCTCTGGCCCTCCCCCCGTTCATGCTCTGTCTCTCTCTGTCTCAAAAATAAATAAATGTTAAAAAAAAAAAAAAATTAAAAAAAAAAATGTTCTACTTTTAATGTTCTTTCCTTTTAAAAATGTTCTACTCCTTCCTCTGGAGTGGCAGTGACAATTATACCACTTAATTTACTGGCTCTTCCAGTTCCGGTGGACGAGGTTAGGGGTGCCAAGAATACGAGAGCTGTCGTTTGCAGAGCACTGGGTTTCCAGGGAGGCTTGCCGCGTAAAACCTCGAGCGTGTCACCGACCTGCTTTGGGCAGTACCGAATTTTCAAGTCAGGACCTCGGACGGGCGACCCCTTTCAGGTCTCTGTCAGTTCCGGAAGCTACGAGTCAGAGTGTTCTCCTTCTTTATCTTGATTACAGTTTTCCCTGTATGTGCTTGTTCCTGGTTAGTTTGCTCACAGTGAAAATTCCGCCTGTTCTTATTTTAGAAATACACCGTAAGCATGGATTTTGTAAGAGCATTTGAACAGCAGTGTGGAACACAGGCCAGCGTGAGGAGATTAAGAGCACATCCCGCCTATCACAGCTTCAGTAATAAGTGGAACTTGCCTGTTTATTTTCAAATAAGGTCAGTGATTTATTCCTCACCTCCTCCCCCCCCCCCCCCCAGCCTTCTGAAATGGGACTAGAATACCAGGTCAGGGTGTTGCCTCCAGGAAACAGTCCTCGGAGATGATCGTGCTGTTCCTTGGGAAACAAGATCGAAAGTGGGAACGTGCAAGAAGTGTCGTCATTGCCGGCGTTCTGGTTGGCATGACAGAAAAACCATTTGGTAATTAAAGGGCTGAGGACCCCGGCCTCGGACCGAGGTGGGCCCCGCGCCCAGCTCCGTCCTCCTGCGCTCCGTCCGCGGCAGCCTGTCTGTTTTGCCCTTCTCCCCACCCGCCTTCGTCAGGCAGCAGGCCTGGCCCACGTGGGTCTGTTGTTGGCTTCTCTGTGCTGGTTTTTCCCTGAGAGTGGGGAGAAGCGTATTCTTCGCAGCTGGTTCCGTCAGTCGGTTTATGAGAATCCTAGTTATTATTTTGGCCGTCTCTGACATCTTTTGGATGTCTTTGACATCTGTGACATTTGTTCTCTCTGTTCTGGAAAATGGTGACACTTCTAACAGATGTCGTGACAATACCACGTACGTAAATAAGTGCTTTCATAAACTGGGGGCATTTAGGATAAACTCTTAGCAACATATGTTCTGTTAGAAAAACAGACGAAAACAGCCATTTTTGCAGAGTGTCTTGAACGAGGTCATGGTAAGTTCCTTCATCGAATGACATTAACTAGAGCGTTTTAGTTAGGAAGGTCTGGAAAGAGTTGCAGGCTTTTTGTTGAAATCGCTGAGTGCTTTCATTCATTACGATGCAGTCCTTTTCCCTAGAGTTCTGGGGGGAAATTACAGAGGGGGAAATATGTTAAGGATTAGGTCCTTTGATTGTAATTGCTTGCCGTGATTGAGAATGTATGTAATCATCTTCTGATAATGAAATCACAGCTACCAGAATGTTAGTGAGGCGCCCTTGCTCGTACCACACTGTATTTTATGCTTAATTTTGCCAGCGTGACATCACCACGGAGCTTGTCTCTCAGTAGGAAATGAAGGATTTGTTCTTCTAAGGTGTTCATGGACTGCACTGGGAGTGGTTGTTGCAGGGTAATGAAGATCAACCCAGGGCAGGAAGCCCTTTTGATGCAGGAGCGGAATTTAAAACAGTGAAGTATTCTTTCATAGTATAAGACTGCAATAGAGGGGCGCCTGCGTGGCTTAGTCGTTTGAGGCCCAACTTTTTTTTTTTTTTTTTTCGAGGCCCAACTTTTAATACCAGCTTAGGTCGTGTTTCCAGGGTCGTAGGATCGAGCCCCGCATCAGGCTCAGCGGTGAGCATGGAGCCTACTTAAGATTCTTTCTCTCTCTCTCTCTCTCTCTGCCTCTCTGCCCTTCTCCCCTGCTTGTGCCCTTTCTCTCTAAAAATAAAAATAAAAAAAATAAAATTGGGGACTAACGTGTATGTATATATGTACATATGTATGTGTGTGTATATATATGACCGCAGTGGAGAAGAAATGTCTAGCATTTCTTCTGTGGTCCGGGTGTGGAGTTAGATTGCTTTAGATATCCAATACTGTCACATCACGTAGTCCCGCCTGCTGCCTCCAAACTCCTCTTCCTAGTCATTTCCCCAGATCCCGTGACCCCACCCTTGGGGATCCTGCACTGTCGTCCCCCCCTCCTCGCCCCTCCCCCCCCCGGACTTGCCCCCCAGGAGCTCTGGTGGCTGTTTCGGGGCGTGCTCTGGGCTCGCCAGGCCGGACGCCACAGCAACAGCACACCCTCCCCTCAGCCACCTCTCACAGGGCCGTCAGCCGAGCTGGGTTTAAAGTCAGCCAGTTCCCTGAATGATTTTGTACGTCCACCAGATTTTAACAGTAAGCAATCAAAAGGATCGGTGGGCCTTTCTCTGTAAACCATTTTACTTAAAATTTGTGAAATTTGTAAAACATCACGTCTGAGTTGCGAAGTGTGGAACTTGTATTCACTTATGTTTGTTTTTCCATTAAAAAAAAAATAAGTTCGGGGCACCTGGGTGGCGCAGTCGGTTACGCGTCCGCCTTCAGCCAGGTCATGATCTCGCGGTCCGTGAGTTCGAGCCCCGCGTCAGGCTCTGGGCTGATGGCTCGGAGCCTGGAGCCTGTTTCCGATTCTGTGTCTCCCTCTCTCTCTGCCCCTCCCCCATTCATGCTCTGTCTCTCTCTGTCCCAAAAATAAAAACAAACAAAAAAAAAAAACGTTGAAAAAAAAAAAAGTTCAAGTAATACTTTGTGGGACTGCCCTATTGATTTTTACCAGGCGTCACATTGTTTACTCTGAGTGACGACCAGAAGTTCCACAAACATGACTAGGGTCAGAGTTACATTGTGAGGGGATTCACTTCAGGGCCATTTAAAGGAGGCCCAAAACCCGTGGGGTGGCATACTTTGACATGTTCGTAGGGAGGAACATGAACATTGCTCTCTTGGGAACAGGCTTACGCCACTGGTCTGACGGTAAACCTGTATCCCGTCATCCTAGGAACCGAGGTGGCCCTTCCAGCAGCTCCATCCGGGGGTGCACTTGAACCCCTCACTGTTCCCGATGCCCTGCCTGGCCTTCATGTCACTTGTTCCCGTAGGCATAGTAGAAAGCAGGTTTAGGGGCGCCTGGGGGGGGGGTGCTCCGTCGGTTAAGCGTCCCACTATTGATTTAAGCTCAGGTCATGATCTCGCCGTTCATGAGGTGACAGCATGGAGCCTGCTTGGGATTCTCTGTCTTCCTCTCTCTCTGCCCCTCCTCTGCTCACGCTCGCTCTCAGAATGAATGGACAAACTTCAAAAACAAGAAAAAAGGTTTACGATTCAGTTTCTCACAGGAAGAAAGTAAATGCAAGTATGACCCACTGGTCTCCAGTGCAGTGAGCTGGTGGCTCCACAGAGACTGGGCTCAGTCCCTGAAATGCCGTAGGCTAAGTTCTCCGCCATCTTTAATTGAAGTCTTTCTAGAATACTGTATACACCCGCAACATTCACTGTAGATGTATTGCATTCAGTACATGCTGAACATAATATATCTCCTCCTAGCGATGTGGTCTTTCTGCAGCATCGACGTGCTTTCCCTTTGCCCCGAGTACGCGTGTGTGTGGAGTAGACATGTGCCCCGCGACGCTTCGGATACTACGGGGAAGAGATTGCAACCAACGCCCGGCAGTGTTACCTTCACCGCTTTTATTTTTACGGAAGCGCTTTGCGGTGATTGCATACTTGTGGCATGCGTGGAGGGATAGGTCTAGAGGCCTCCCCCCAACCCAGATTTCAGAATGTAGAAACATCCTGTCTGGGGTCACCTCTGTTACAGATACCCTAGCAAGTGCCGTGGGCATCACACGCGCGTTTACGAACTCCAGCGCGGCTTCTCAAGGGTCCCCAAGGTGGCCTCTCCCTTTTTGCCGTTTTCCAAGAACGACAGCACCTCACCTCAGTCCTGGAAGTTAACTGCCCAGCAGAGCTGCGCGAGGGGCTGCTGCTGGGCTGCCGGCTGGGGAGGCACAGCTCTGCCAAGTGACCTGGGCAGTTTTACTTTGATGGGTCTTCCAGCGTGGTTGCACGGTCAGATGGCTGTGTCGAGGCTGCGACATAGCACCCGTGCCGCTCACTGGCAGGTTCCCCTGGGCAGTAGGAGGGGGCTTCCTTCCCCAAGGGAAAGCAGCCAGCTCTCGCAGTTCGGGGCGGCCCGGGGTCTGGGGCTCTGGGCCGTGTTGCACGTTCATGGAGGGCACGGCCGCTGTTCTTGGTCTGACGTGCTGTTCCTTTCACCCTCCAGACATATTCCTTAAGCTCAGGCTCTGAACTGCTTTGAAAAAAATTTGTACTATAAAAAACCCAAAAGGCTCAGGGAAATTAATCTTGAGCGGGTGTCAGCATGTGTTGCCAGCAAGGGAACTAGCAGGTGACGGGTGTGCTGGGGAAGGTCCGACGGCGGAGGTTCCGTAGTTGGGACCCGATGCCACGTGCGCAGCTTGTTTCCAAAACACAGCATTTTCGTGTCACACAGCCCTGAAAACGTGCCCACGCAGTTACTAAAACGGAATTTTGTGACGGGAGAAGGCGCTGCCTGGTGGGCCAGCTGACAACCCAGGAGGACTGACCCGGGAGGCGGGGGCGGACAGCACGGGAGGCTGGGCAGCAGTGTGAACAGCACACGCAGCGGGCTTTTGTAATGTTCACCGGCTGTTCGCGGTGACTTTTCTCAAACTGCAAACAGATCTGGAGTCCAGCCTTCCCATTCCTTACTTTAGAAACGTTTCCTTTTTTCCCTACGGCAGCGTGAGTCGAGGCGGATCGGAGATCCCGCGGTCTTGTGGCCGCGAGGCGATGACACCGAGTACAGGCCACGTGGGCCTGGCCTGACACGGGCATCTTGATGGCAGTCTAACCGGGTGGTTTGTTTAGTTCGAAAAACACGGGGTTGGTTGTGATTCCAATCAGCCGCAGATAACAGAGAAGCCCTGCCTGACGGTGGCTTAATCGGGAGAAATTTGTTCCTTGCTCAGTTGAAAACAGTGGGAGAATGGGCTTCCTGGGGCTGGCCGGGCATCTGTAAGGGTGTCTTTGGGACGCTCTTTGGGACAAGCCAGCGGAGGAAGTTCCTGTGGCTCAGGAGGAAGGGAGAACGGGGAGGTAAAGGCATGCAGCAGCAGCATAAACCCTAATCTGTGCTCTTGTTTTTCCCTCAGATTTAGAGAGATCGCAGGATCCTTAGAAGCAGCACTTACAGCCGGGTTGGAGGACGCTCCAGGTAATTTCCGTAAAGCGATCAATGGCGGATGTCACGCAAGGGGTTAGTTAAGCTCAGCGCTTACCTAAGCCTTTGTTTTCTGAGGGTACTTTCACCTTCTTCTGTCGCGCAGTAGGTGAAAACGTAGCTTAAAAACACGGCTCAACCTCTTTTTTTTTTTTTTTTTCTAAAATGCTAAAAGTATATTTTTTGGTCCATAAAGCTTCTTTCCTTATAGAGAGGATCAAAAGAACGGACTATTACGCAGCCATAAAAAAAAGAACAAAATCTTGCCGTTTGCAACGACACGGAGGGAGCTAGAGAGCGTAATCCTAAGTGAAATAAGGCACTTGGACAAAGAGAAATACAATGTAATTTCACTCATAGGGTGGAATTTTAGAAACGAGACAGATGGACAAAGAAAAAAACGAAACAAACCAAAAAACACAAGACTCTCAGACAGAACAAACTGGTGGTCACCAGAGGGGAGGGGGGTGGGGCGGAGCAGGGGTGAAGTAGGGGATGGAGACAAAGAGCACACGTATCTCGAGCACCGAGCGATGTATGGAAGTGTTGAATCACTATGTTGTACTCCTGAGACTAGTACAACACTGTATGTTGACTCCACTGGAATTAAAATAAGATTGAAAATAAATGCTTTAAGAACGTAAGAAGCAGACCTCAGTTTTGTTTCTGAATATAACCTGTCACGGGGGATTAGCCCCTGGTGATCAGCGCTTTTTCTAGAAAACTGGATTCCATCCGTTTTCCTCCCAGGCTAAGGTAAAGCGTCAGGATGGCCCTTCCCTCCTGGGGGATGATTTACAACTGGGGCTCCTGCCTCAGGCCTCCTGAGCCCTCGGCCCCAGTCCTGGGACACTGGGCAGGTGACGGTGGGTCGTGGGTTGCAGACAGGTTTGGTTTCCTTCACAGCCTCATTGATCTTGTGTCATGTAGTCACTCCCAGTGGCCACTCACGTAACGCACGGCTGTTTCGATGGCCACACGGGTCTCTAGGCCACTCCCACTTAAGTTTCTGCTCCCTTCTGTATAGCTAAGTCAGCCTGACTGCACCGTTTTAGGCTCCGAGGTGGTTTTCCGTCTGTCTTTGCAAAACATGGTCCTGTGTGATCGACTTCCTGTATGTAGAGAGTTCCGGTAGAGGAACGGAAGAGCAGACAAATGAAACCGGACAAACTCGGAATTGTAGTTGAGACGCTTGCAGGGGACCACTCCAGCTTGGGTTTGTGGACTTGGTACAAAATACCTGTTGACAAGTGATTGCCAAATGCCATAGATGTTCAATCTCAAACATCCGGGAGGGGGAATCGTGTAAAATTATAAAAACGCACTGCCTCAAAAGATGAAACAGCATGGATTATGGCCGCGTTCTTCACTCTTGAATTAAGCATCGGAACTATTAGAATTTAGCTGGGAATTGCCTGAGATTCTTTACATGTCTGTCTGTTTCTCTAGCTGGCAGTTCGTTTTGCCTTTTGGCTTCTCACAGAACATGGAGCAGCCTTCAGAGGTGCTGGTCAGATGAGATGTTCTTGCCGGTGCTGGCGCATCGTCTGTGGAGGCTCACGTTGCAGATTTTGGCTCGGTACTCCGTGTTTGTCAGCGAGGTGAGGGCTGGCCGCGTAGCTCGTCCAGAATCACGACCGTTGGGAATTAAGGGGGGGGGGGGGGGCATCTCGGTGGCTCATTCAGTGGAGCGTCCGACTCCGGCTCAGGTCACGATCTTGCACTTTGTGGGTCCGAGCCCCGCGTCGGGCTCCGTGCTGACAACTCAGAGCCTGGAACCTGCTTCGGATTCTGTGTCTCCCTCTCTCTCTGCCCCTCCCCCCTTTGCACTCTGTCTCCCTTTTAAAAATAAGTAAACATTGTTAAAAAATATTAAAAAAGAATTAAAGAGGGACATGTGGGTGGCTCAGTTAGGTAAGCATCTGACCCTTGATTTCGGCTCAGGTCATGATCTCACAGTTGGTGGGTTCAAGCCCCATCAGTCAGGCTCTGCTCTGATGGCACAGAGCCTGCTTGAGATTCTCTCTCCCTCTCTCTCTCTCTCTGCCCGCCCTCGCTCATGTGCACACTTTCTCTCAAAAATAAATATTAAAAAAAAAAAAAAAAAAAGATACCTTAAGCTAAATACGCTAAGACTCTTAAAGGCCAGGCTGTCATGAGAGGTCATTTGGAGGACAACAGTCGACTCATTTCTCAAGTCTGTATCCAGTATTTGTTTCCTTTCTCTTGCCACCGTTGCCTGTATGGGTGGGTGTCTATTATCCCACTGTCCGTGCTTCCTCTTGTGGAAAAGCACTGTCCCGACAAGCTCATTTTCCCATCTCAAAGCCAGAATCTTCGAGATGCCTCGAAATTAAGACAGAGATGCTCATTTTAATGAAAATGAGTAGAAATAAAAACATACGCATTTTAAATTTGGAAGTTTTAAAAAATCGTATGATCATCTGGACTAAAAGGTAATAAAATTAATTAACCTTCCCTTCATTTCAGAATACCCTCCTTTTCTCCTTGTCGAGTAGTTGACTCTCTTAAGTATCCACATGCCTGTGAAGATGGATCAGGTGTCGTGCACACAGCCGTAGCAGTGATCGTACGGGTCAGCCCTGAGCACCCAGGCAGGCCCCGCGCCAGCGTCTCGTGCTCAGAGAGGCCCTGCCCCCTCCTGGACAGTCGCAGGGGACAGACAGACATGCAGCCTGTTCACTGTGCGTGATGAGTATGAAAATGGGCCTAGGCGTGCGTAAGTTGTCAGGAAGGACGGTGTGACAAAGCCTCAGCTATCAGAAGGAATGCAATCTTGAGTTGGAGAGGAGAGCCCGGTTTGTCTTGCAGGGTCTTCTAACGGAAGGAGCACTGGCTTTCATGGCAGACAGACTGAGGTTCTGCCACTTTTTTTTTTTTTTTTTCAAGTTTATTCTGAGAAAGAACGCAAGTAGGGGAGGGGCAGAGAGAGAGAGAGAATCCCAAGCAGGCTCTGCACCGACACGGGGCTCGAACTCATGAACCGTGAGATCAGGACCTGAGCTGAAATCGAGGTGGCCACCTAACCTCCTGAGCCACCCAGGCGCCCCCAGGTTTTCTGCCACTTTGAAATTTTGTGGCCTTGGGAGACTTAGCTCTAGGGGTCCCAGATGCTTCACCTGTGAAATGGCAAACGGTTTCCATACATGAGCAGTAAAAAGGGATCTGTTGACCAGCAGATTGTTGACGGAAGTGCCTGGCGGATTCTGGGAGCTCGGTGGAAGCTAGTTCTCTTTTTCCCTTCTGCCTTCCTCTGCTCAGAAGGGTTCTTTTTTTTTTTTTTTTTTTTTTAATTTTTTTAAGTTTATTTACTTATTTTGAGAGAGACAGACAGCACAAGTGGGGGAGGAGGCGGGGCAGAGAGAGAGCGAGAGAGAAACTCAAGCAGGCTCCGTGCTGTCAGCTTAGAGCCCAATGTGGGGCTGAAACTCAACGAAATGTGAGGTCATGACCTGAGCTGAAACTGAGAGTCGGACGCTCAACCGACTGAGCCACCCAGGCCCCCCCCCCTTTTTTTTTAATTTTTTAAGTTTATTTACTTTGAGAGCAGAAGGGTTCTTAACAGACCACCCTGTCCACCAAGCGGTTTCTGAAGACCCCTGTGCAGTTGATTCGGGGGAGGCAACGGGGTTGATGTGATTCTTCGGGTAGGCCTGAGTAGGCTGGGTCCTGCATTCTTACCAGCCAGTAATTCTCAGGTCTCCAATAAATTATTTTGCCTCACATGTTCATTATTCCGTTTTTTCCTTATGCCGGGGGTACTTCTCTTTGATTTTTCCCTTGTAACAAATCATTATGCAAGTAACACTTTTGCTGATACTGTTTGAAATGTGGTGAGGTTTGGATTGTGCTTTTTTTATCCTTATTAATTAATTATAATTAACATTAGGTAAATTTACCGAGCAAACCTGGTAAATGATTTACCTAGTTGAGCTAATGAATTTTTTTTTAACTGTGATATTCCAGAAATTAATTTTCATTTCGTTTAGGGACCTGTTTTGTTTTTTGCCTGTTACTTTTAATCACCAGAAAGTAGACACGAGCTTAAGGAGGACAAATGTCCGTGGGGTTGTAGTTTGGCTTTGTTTCTCCTTGTTGTTCTTTCGTTGGTAAACTTTTACTGAATACTTTGCAGATGGTGGGCCACAAAACTTAATGCTCAGGTATGTGGCAGGTGGAAAAGTAGTTAATCGTTGAAACGGTTTTTCAGCTTTTACTCAGGCCCATCTCTAATGAAAGTGCCAAGGATATTAAAAAGCCTTTGGTAACTGGTGGCAAAGACCCTTCAGTTACCCAGGGAAACAGTGAAGACCAAGCAAGTGGCCCCGCGGAAACAAAGCCCGTGGCTTCCATTTCCAGTACGCAGCTTATATATGTGGTCGCCGACCTGGACAAGCTTCAGGAGCAGGTAGGCCTGTGTCCCAGGAGAAGTCCAGGGGCTCGGTTCGGTGTTTTCGTAGAAAGTGACATGTGCGAGGGTCTGACCCCATATGGCCTCATGGGGCTTGGAATCGTGGGGCCCAGGGCCTCCCGGAGAGCACAGGTTCGCCCGCGCTCCGAGCGGTCTCTCCAGCTTTCCCCTGCGGGGGGGCTCTCTGCCTCCTTGCTTGTCAGTCTAGTCTCATATTTTGTGAACCTGGGGGAGGGGGGTCTCTGCTGCCTTTTCAGTGTTCCCGTCACAAGTGACAAGTGAGCCGTGCCCCACTGTTCACTAGCTCCGCGTTTTGGCATGATCGCTGGCGGGTTGGATTTTAATGGGTTGTACCCCTACTCGACCACGTATTTCCTGGCAACAGTTAACCTTTGCGTGTACTTTGAAAGTGAACTGTGAAAACTTCTCCCCCTGTTTCTGTGGGTATGTCCATGTTTGGGGCCTTTATCATTAACAGGGCTTTGTGGGCCGAATTTGTGTTTGAGTGCTCTGATACGTGAGTGTTTTCCGCTGGTCTTTGTTTGGTATCGGGGAAAGCCACAGAATAGAAAATGGTTTCGCTTCTTCCCTGGGCCTGTTAATAGCCGGGGACTGCTGTTTCCCGTGTTGCTGGATTCTGTTTTAGTGAAAGCGTTAAGAATTTTGCTTTCTTCTGATGAAAACTGTAGGAAGTCTTGAGTTTAGTTTCATTTTTCATTAATAGTATTTTAGAGTTTATAGGTGCAACCTGAATTGCCTCTTCCTTTGATTTATAAAAAGTAACTGAATATGTAAAGTGCATATATTTATTTCAGCTTCCAGAACTCTTGGAAACAATCAAGCCAAAACTTGAAATGATTGGCTTTAAGAATTTTTCTTCTATCTCAGGTAAAAATGAATCTTTAGACTCAGCACATCTCTGAATAAGAAATAATTTAAAATAAAACTTTAGAGCCTGTAATATATATTTAAACCACCATTTTCTTTTCTAGTTGTCAATCCTTGGTTGTTTCTATATTCTGTTCTGTGATGATAATTTCTCTAGATGAGATATTTTGTTTAATTCTAATAAGTTGATTTGATTCGGCTTATTGTTGTACACTCTGTAAATACTGTGACAGTGTCTAAAATAAAATTCGCACCCGGGCCTCAGTAAGTGGCTAAACTCAGTCTCTGTGTCTGGACAGCAGCCCTGGAGGACTCCCAGACGTCTCTGTCCGCCTGTGCTCCTGCCTTGAGTGACAGGATCATCCAAGACTTAAGCGAGTCTTGCTTCGGCTACCTGAAGAGTGCCCTAGAGGTCCCCAGGCTCTACCGAAGAACCAATAAGGTCAGCACTGTTCCCTGGAAAGCCTTTTGAGTTGGGGAAATACATGACAGGAAAGCCACAGAGGCAGGGGGTTGTTGAGCGAGACCCAGAAATGAGTCCACAGGGGTAGCCCAAGGCAGGCCTGCCCGGCCTCCTCCTTAATTGTGAGAAGGGGACTCTGCAGGTGGATGGTCAGCTGCTTTGGTAATTGGACTCACACAGCACGGCCTCTTCCCGGATTCCCTTGGCCTTAAGGAAAGATGGTAGTAATTTGAAAAGAAAGCTTTTTAACAGATACATATTTTTAAAAAAAATTTTTTTTTCAATGTTTATTCATTTTTGGGACAGAGAGAGACAGAGCATGAATGGGGGAGGGGCAGAGAGAGACGGAGACACAGAATCGGAAACAGACTCCAGGCTCTGAGCCATCAGCCCAGAGCCTGACGCGGGGCTCGAACTCCCAGACCGCGAGATCGTGACCTGGCTGAGGTCGGACGCTTAACCGACTGCGCCACCCAGGCGCCCCACAGATCTATGTTTTTAATGTTTTTTATTTATTTCTGAGAGAGACAGAGCATGAGCAGGGGAGGGGCAGAGAGAGAGGGAGACACAGAATCCGAAATAGGCTCCAGGCTCCGAGCTGTCAGCACAGAACCCGACGCGGGGCTCGAACTCACAAACCAAGAGATCGTGACCTGAGCCGAACTCGGACACTCAACCGACTGAGCCACCCAGGCGCCCCTTAAAATGTTTCTAACTCCTATACTTTGATTCTTGTATCTGGAAAAAATTGAATCGACCTTGCTCCCTTCATATCGTCCTAGCAAGTACCTGCTTTCTGCTGTTCTGTAACTCGAAAAGACCCCAAAAGCTGCATCAGGAATATGAAAAGCATCTCTGAGATGAAAAGGGTGTGGGCACACTGGGGTTTAAAATCGAATTCCCCCGTTGTCTCATTTGGCAGAAAGGCGACTTGGGGAATTCGTCTCGACCAGAGCTGTCGTTTCCGTTCCTGTGCATTTATACGCACCTTTCCTTCTTGCTACATCTCGCTTAATTTTCCATCGAATTTTCTTTTTTCTCCAGTTGTAGAATTGGGTGTCAGGCAGTTTAGCACCAAAGTGATTTTCGGGACCTGTTGTTTTGGAGTGTCCCCGGAGTTCCTTTGCGTCCCTGGTTTGGGGCGGTCTCTGTGTGCCCAGCACAGGCGCCTTGCCCCACCCCCGCCTGCGTGACTCGGTGCTCTGGAGGCAGTGAGTGCTCAGCGGAGGTGGACAGAGTCTCTCTTGTGGCTCTTCTTTTCCTTTTCCCAAAATCTGGGGCGTGCAGTAGGACTACCGCTTCCAGCAAGAGGACTTTGCCACCTGATTTTCCCTTTCTGGTCTGCCTTGAAGCTCCCACTTCAGAGCGGGAGAGAGAGACCTCCTCTGTATTCCTAGATACATTCATTTTCTTTGCGGAAGCCACCAGCTTTCCCGTCCGGGGTATTGACCAAGTGCTTGCGGGCCAGATCCGGTGTGCTGGCGGTCAGATGCTGTCGTTTGCTCTTCTCCAGAGTAGGCCCCAGTGTCCTTGTTTGCAGACGAAGAAGCTAAAACAGAACAAATTACTCGCCGTAGATCCTTGCGTCTCACTCTGTCGACCAGCAGCATTAGCATGACCTGGTGGGAGCCCGTTAGAAATGCACGGCCTCAAACACAGCTCTCCCGGCCCGCGTAACTGCGCACTGCAGTACTTGTTCTCTCTGTCCTTTTCTCTCTCTCTCCCTCTCTCTCTCTGGCTCTAAACATTATTTTCCCTTGCTGTACTCTTCCTGACCCCTCCTGTTCTCAGATATCTTTCGGGAGACAACCTTAGTGTCACTACTGGGGAGGGATGGGGTTCGTTCATGTCTCCAAACTGGCACATTAGTAACATCCTTCCGAAGTTTGAATAACTTTTTTTTTTTTCTATACATTTTTTTTCAACCCCTACCATCATTACTCCAGGAAGTGCCAACCACAGCCTCCTCTTACGTGGACAGTGCCCTGAAGCCATTTCGCCAGCTTCAGAGTGGGCACAAGGATAAGCTGAGACAGGCAGTAATCCGACAGTGGTTAGAAGACGCCCTCTCTGAGAGCACTCATAAGTAAGTACCTTAGAAGTAGGCCATCCCAGACTTGCTTAGGGAAGCCCCGAGTCAGAGACCGCGGAGGCCATCGGAGGGTGGCACGTGGCTTGTTGACGACGTCAGATGGCCGCGTCTCTGGACGAGTCGGGTGCAGGCGCTCACACCTGAGTTGGTGGCTGAGCTGCTCTGGGCCCCCCCCCCCCCCCCTCCCTGCACCCGGAGTGCGATGGGCCACCTGCCCCCCGGCCGCCCGGGGTTCCCCTGGCCCCGCACCTCCTGGATCAAGTACTTCTTGGGGGCGCAGGCGCATCCCACTCCCCCGGCACGCCCAGCTTTTGGTGTGCAGGGTGCGTTTCACGTGGCCCTCTTTCTGCAAGGCCAGGCACACGTTTTCCCGTAAGATCCGCTCTCTCCTGTGTCCACAGTGGCTCTGCTCGCGCCAGATAATTGAAAGTGCAGACTGGCGAGACCACTGCAGCCAAGGAAGAGAAAACACACGTTCTGAAGCCTGATTGTAACTGATAGCGTTCAGTATCTAAAACCCTGCAACCCGTGAAAATCTCAGGAGGTCTTCGGGATCCCTTTGGTCGAATGTCTCTTCGTTTCTCATTCAATAGACTTTTCCCCAAATGCTGGCATTGAGTTATGTCAAAAGCATCTTGCTCAATTTTGCTATTGGATTTTGTTTATTTTCTGATGGTACTTGATTTATTTCAATTACTTCTGAGTTCAGGAACATTTGTGGGTTAATTTAGAACATAACAGTGAATTAGAGTCTTGTTTTTGTGGGCAAATATATACCAAGTGCCAAGTAGCCAGCTTGTAAACAAAGTTTTGAAATACAACTCCTTTATAATTTGCAAATTATATTGAGAGCACTGTGAAGGTAATTAGTGTTATTTAAAAATTTGAAAGCTTTCTGTTCTTAAGATGAACTGTTCCTAAAACTGACCGTAAATGAATCTGTTACTTGCACTTGGGGAATGAGCTCCAGCTGTTGCCCCCTTCGAGTAGGAAAGATCATTTGGCCTTCGATGTTCTCTTGTTGGTGTCCGGGAAAATTGTAAACAGAGTCCACGTGTGTATTTCATAAGTTCTGAGGGATTGTGATGCTAGGGTGTCAAGGCTCCTTTTTTTCAGTCTTACAAAACATTGGTCAGTTCACCATGGCTGATTTCTTTTATTGGAAATGAGTGTTGGTCTTACGAATCTCTTGTGTTGGCCCACCAAGCCAGTCGGTCTGGGGATGCACACTAGCCCCTCGGTCTCACCAGTAAGCGTGTCTTGTGCCCAAGGTACTACGAAACCGTGTCCGACGTTCTGAACTCTGTGAAGAAAATGGAGGAGAGTCTGAAGCGGCTGAAACAAGCCAGGAAAACCACTCCCACCAACCCCATCGGTCCCGGTGGCGGCATGAGTGACGACGACAAAATCAGGCTGCAGCTGGCCTTGGACGTTGAGTACTTGGGAGAGCAGGTAACTGCTGATCCGTCGTCAGGTGCCTCACGTGAGCCCGGACGTGCTGCCGAGGGCGGGCGTGTCCTCCTGGGACTGGAGGGAGTGGTCAGGGTCCCAGAATACTTGAGGGGAAAGGATGTGCGTAACGAATACCGGAAATTGACCAACTGGTCTTTGGTGCAGTTGGCATCCACTTGGTTCACGGAGCCCACTCGAGGGGCAGCTCCCAGACGGAGGTGGCGTCCTTTCTGTCCACCACCGGGGAAGTGCCTGACACGTAGTCAGGCGGTTAGAATAAGCAGAGAAGCATTAGCCCGTGGATCTCTCAGTGTGGCCCCTGAGAGGTCGTCTAAGCCTGACCTCTTTGCTTCCCTGGCCGAGTCTCCTCTGTTCCCATAAAACACAGGTTTTGGAGTCCCAGCAGGCGCAGGAGCATTGCTGGACGTGGTGTCACTTAGGAGGCAGATGTGGGTTGCATGCCAGGCCTCTCTTCACACAGGTGACTCATTCAAGGATCAGGAAACTTCTCTCGTTCTTGAGAAGCTGGCTTTCTATACTGTTTAGGGTCCCCATATAGCACACACCCTCCAGGAAGATCTTGCAGCTGGAGGAGAATTTCCATCCGGAAGTGCTTGCTTTCCTAGCTGACTGAGGACTCTTGCACGTCAGGGTCCTCCCTGGAGATCTAAATTCTGCTGCTTTGATGTGAATTTAGAGATCTATCCCGGCGGAAGTCCGTTGCCCTATTTCTCTCATAAGAGAAACTTGCAGTCCTTTTACAAACCAGACAATCTGGTAAAGAAATATGAAGAACAAAGAAGCCAGAGAAAGGGGGGGGGTGGGGGTGCAGGAAAAGAGACAGCACTCCTTGGTCGCCAGCCCCCAGAATGAACGGCAGCACGCCGACAGATGCTAAATGCTTGGTGTGGGTTTTTCCAGATTTTCCTGTGCGTGTGCGTGCGTGTGTTGCCGTTAACAAAAGCGGGCACGTGGTTTGTCACGACTCAGTTACCACGGCAATCCACGGTAGTTGCTCTGCCACAGCAACCACAGTCCATCAGATTCTAAGAAAATCTGTCCATGACCCGTGAAGACATTAAGTGCTCAGGCCAACGCTTTTGTGAAAACTCTCCACTTAAAAAATAGTTCGCTCGGTGATTTCTTTTCGTGCGCCTCCTTTGCAGTCCACAAAAGGGGCTCTTCCCCTGGCAAGAGCCTGATCTGATGGACTGAGATAAATGAACATACTGGCGTCTTTGAATGCACAGGGTTTAACCCCCAAAAGCGAAGCTCTGCAATAAGCAGATCCTTCCTGTGAAGGGAGAAGGCTCTGCCAGCCTTTGGGGAGCTGCCCTTTTCAGATTCCAGAGAGGATGGGGGTGACATCCCGTGTGTTCTTTATGAGGCTCTTTTGTTCGCGCTCAGCTCACACCGCGGTGCCTTTATCCGCTCTCGTGGCCTTTGCAGATACAAAAGATGGGCCTGGCGACAAAGGACATAAAGAGCTTCCCGGCCCTCGCCGAGCTGGTTGCCGCCACCAAGGACCAGGCAACGGCAGAGCAGCCGTGAGCATCTTGGAAGAGCCCGCGGGGAGGGGAAAGCTGGACGTGGAGCCCGAGGGGAAGAAAGTGGCTCTGTCCTCGGGCCCAGTCTCCGCGGCCAAGAAGTGCTTCCACGGCGCCCGGCGTCTCGAGCAACACGCCAGGGCAGCTTCTCTCCGCACACTGGGGTCTCCTTTTGCCCAGGACAGAACACAGAAGCCTTTTTCCGTTGTATGGAAGATAGTTTTTAAGACACTTGAAACTTTCTACTCTAGTTTACAGAGCAAATTATTTTATTTTTATTGTAAATCTTAGCGCGGAAGAGCTGATTTCTAAAATACGACTAAAGTGAATACGTAGGACTCTGGAAAGCTGGGCCCGGGCCCCGACCCCGCTGTCGGAAGCGCCCGCCCGCCGGGGGTGGGGGGGCGACCGTGTCGGATGGCTCCCCCTCCTCCACCGGGAAAGCCGGTGTGCGCGGTGACGCCTCGTGACGCCCTGAGAGAGGCGGCAAGGGGCGCCCCCTCCGTCCTCCCCCTGAGTGCTCAGCGAGAGTGCTCCTGGTCACGCTGTCCCGGCAGGAGCTGGAACCTGTAGGAAGATGCGTCTCCTGAATAAAAGAAGCGTCTGCCAGAAGCACGTGGGCTCGTGTTTGTGCATCCGGTGCGGGTTGAGTGCTCTGGCCGCGGGGTGGCGTGTCGGGCACGTTTCCTCGAGGGCACCTGCCTCTCGCTCTCCTCAGCGGATCGTCCTCCTGCAGGTGTGGGAGGCGACAAGGCCGCGGCCCTCGTGTCGGGAGAGGCTGCGGGGATGTTGGGAAGAGGTAGGCGCCCGACACGGGCCGCCGAGGCAGGGGCGCTTCTCCCTCTAGCCTGCGTTTCATCGCGTCTCCGTCTCCCGGCCCGGAGGTCAGCTCCAGGGAGAGCAAGGAAAAGAGGAAGCGATCGGCAATCGAGAAAGCAGATCCGGGCGCTAGCAGAGATTTTGTCTGTATGTGTGTGAGCGCAGTGATGAGGCAGCGCGGGGAAATAGGGAGCGTGAGAGGAACCCCCGTAAAAGCGGTGAGAGCAGCGACTTCGGGCGCGTGTCCTCCCCGCCCCCGCGGCCGTGCGGCCCCGCGAGCGTTCGGGGCTTGCACGCTGGGCCTGCCTGTGCTCCCCTGGAGAGCCGGTGCCCCAGCCTCAGCACTGAGCCCTGCCCCGGCTGGAGCGGGACTGACGGGTCGGTACTGGGAGTCCAGTCAGACCCCGGCCCGTGGGTGCGAGAGCAGAAGGGATTTGGCATCAGGCTTGGACCTCGCGGTGCTGGGCTCGTAGGCGGCAGGGGGCACGGGGCAGCCGGGAAGGAAGCTGGACGTGAAGTGAGAGAGGGCAGGGCCGACCTGGAGCCAGTGGGGATAGATTGGCACCCACGTTTGTCTCTTGCCGCCCCCACCCCCATCCCCCAAGTTCGGCGATGGGCCTGCAGAAGTTGAGCTCACGTGCCTGGCCCAGGATTTGAGGGAGGTCCAGCAGGGCCCGCGCGTCGTGCCGGGAGCCGTGTGAGCCACCCGGTGGCTGGGCCTACGGGAGCTTCTGAGTGCAGACATGCCCTTGTGGGCAAGGCAGACCTCCCTCCTTGCCCAGCGGGGAGCTCTGGGAGCTCTGGGAGTGGAGACCCAGCCCTGCCAGGGTGACGAGACCTGCCTACCTGCCGGTGGTCCCCCGGTTAGCCACATGGCTGAGCGCCTCCCTCCAGCCCGCCGCTGGTCAGCAGTAGCCCCAGTGTTTCCTTTCTCCTTGACTGTTCTTTCTCGTTTGTTTCAAAATGTGGTTGACAAGGATACAGTGTATTATCCCCTCCAACTCCAGCCGGCTTATCCCCATCATGGAGACGAGGAAACGGAAATTAAGGAGTTAAAATAGTTAAGAAATGGAATTTAAATCCAGGGAAGATGGTTCCAGAGTCCAGGTTGCTCAGCAGCAGGTAATTCTCCCTCCTTCATATGAGCATCGGAACAGAGGGGCTGATCAGGCAGGGTTGGGGCCCAAGGCATCCATTTCCCGGACGCCTGTCAAGCCCCAGGCTCGGCCTGGGTTCAGTAATACCACGTTTCTGGGCTCGTTCTGGGCGACACCCATGGTGTCCCACTCCTGTTTCTAGGCTGAAGAAACAAGAACCTTTAGTAAAAAGCAGAACGTTCCAGAACACTTATCCCTGGCTCCCCAGAACGTCTCCTTCATTTAACGTGTGTTTTCTGAGCTTTGCCTTGAAGAGTCATAACGGAACAAAGTTTATGAAGACGAATAATACGTTTTTACAGTAAAACTATAATAGTGTTTTACTTTATAGCCTACAGAATCTAAAAGTCTCAAGCAGAGGAGTCTTTCTGGCCAACTGGTCATGTGGTGCCAGGGAGGCAGGGGATGAGTGGGTGGGGGTGCTCCACACAGTCCTCAGGGACCCAGGCTGCCTGCAAGGCGCCACCTCCATCCTGTGGCTTCCGTGTGGGGGCCCCCCCCCCCGGGAGTCACTTCCTGTTAGTTCCCTGTGGCTGTTGTAACAAATTACTGCAAACGGGATGGCTGAAAACGACAGAATTCTCTTCCCTCCTGGTTCTGGAGGCGGAGTCCAAATCAGGTGTCGGCTGGGCCACACTTCCTCTCCCCCTTGCCCGTCCCACTTCTCGTGGCTCGAGGTGTCCCTCGGCTCACGATGGCACAACTCGGCCTCGGCCTCGGCCTCGGCCTTCGCGCGGCCTCCTGCTCTTCTCCGTGTCTCCTCCTCTGTCTCCTACAGGAGCACTGCCGTTGGATTTAGGACCCACCTGCGTAATCCGGGAGGCTCTCGTCGTGAGATCCCCAACTTGATCGCATTTGCAAAGGTCCTTTTGCCCAGTAAGGTCACATGCACAGATTCCAGGGGCCGGCATGTGTGCAGACCTTTTTGGGGGCCCACCATTTTGGCCTCTGCTGCAGCCAACCAGGAAAGGAAAAGCACATGAGGGCCACCCGGGGGCGGGGGGGGCCACGGCCCCACCGGGGAGAGCTCCGCACGCTCCAGGGGCTGGAAATGGGTCTAGCTGTGTGTCCAGGAAGAAGAGAAAAAAAGCAGATTTTAGAGCTTCTTCAGTTACACACCCCGGTGTCCTGTTGGGGGTCTTTGCCAGTATTTCTTTGCAGCTCCCTGGAACTACTCTGTGGAGTTGCCCTGTGAGAGCCACTCAGCCACAAACCTGCCTGTGGAAAAGGGGGCCCCTGGGTCTGCATGCCTCGCGGGCTAAAGCAGGGCAGCCCCGGACCTCCGGCATGGAGGAGGCCAGCGTTGAGCTTTAAGGACAGCAGCCGCCCTGGCGGTGCGATAATGGGCATCCACGTGACCCTCCCGTTGACCTTCCCGCTCAAATTCACGTTTCAGAACCGGAGAATGGTGCCGAACTTCAGATGTCGAGATAACGGTAGAGTCTTTTTTTTTTTTTTTTTTTAACGTTTTTATTTATTTTGAGAGACAGAGCAAGAACAGGGGAGGCACAGAGAGAGAGGGAGACACGGGATCCGAAGCGGGCCCCGGGCTCCGAGCTGTCAGCACAGAGCCCGACGCAGGGCTCAAGCCCGCAAACCGTGAGATCATGACCTGAGCGGAAGTCGGACGCTCAACCGACGGAGCCACCCAGGCGCCCCGAGCTAACGGTGGATTCTGAAGCAAGGCCTGTTGGGGGTTCTTACCTGAAGGCACCGTTCACGTTGTCAGCGCGTGGCATCCTCACCCGTGAGAGAGACCTCTCCTCGTCAGCCACCAGACATCCCAGATGGAGCCTCCACCGTCTGAGAGGACGCAGGCCTCTCCTGGTCCTCCTCCCACCACCCCAGGTTAGGCAGCTGTGAAGAAGATGCTGTCTTTGGCCCGGGCGAGCCTTCCCGGCAGTGCCCACCCCTCTTGAAGAGCTGCCAGGCGTCATGTCGGATGGCGGCAAAGGCCGGTCTGGACCAAGGGAAGTCACACCTTCCCATGACTTTGAGAAATGCCTCCACGCGCCACTCGCCCCGTCGCCCCTGTCACACGGAGTCCCAGAACAATCCAGATTCTCCTCTTTCCCTCGCTCTCGTCAATGTTGGACTGAAATGTGTTCTTGATCTTTGGGGTGGCGTTTTGATTGTGAAGTAACCCAGTAACGAGGACCTGAATCTCTGTCCCACCTTAAACAACTGAACACCAAGGCAAGCGTCTGAAACGGCACCGTGCAGACGCTGGACAAGAGCAGTGTAGGATCCCAGAGAGAAGGGAAACAAGGTGGGCTGTGTGTGGACAGTGTCCAGGCCCAGGCCCAGGGGGACCCGGAGCCGGGGACTCTGATGTGAGAGAGTCTGGAGTGGGGAGGCGGCAGGGGTGGGGGGAGAGTGGGGCAAGGAGTCTAGACCTTGGGGGGCAGAGTATGGAGAAGAAGGTGGCTCACTTTGTGTAGCCGGGTGCTGGTTAGCCGCTGGTGGGGCAGGAGGCTATCAAGGCGAGGAAAGCAGTCCTAGAAAGGAGCGGCTAGAATCATCCTCCAGGCTCAGGGGACCCCGGCGTGTTCCCGCTGGCAGGATGGAAAGGCTGTGACAGTGGCCGCAAGTGGCGCCCTCAGAAGGATCGGCCTCAGGAGCGGCACCAGACTGGCCTAAACCAAAGGCTGGTCTGGACCCGCTTAACAAAGCTTCACAGCGAGCCTCAGAGGGTAACTTTGCAGGTAACTCCACGGAAGCATAGAGTAACATGGAATGTAGGGAGGTGGGCTGTGGGACCCGCCCCCCCCCCCCAAAGTGTTGCGAGTCACTGACATTCACCACCCGCGGTGTTTGTGAGAGCCTCTGAGAGGCACCCAGAACGTCTGCTCGTCCTGCAGCTTTTAAAACCACATGGCGAGCCCGTGTCCACACAAAAACCTGCACACGG